TATCGAGCCGAGCCGAGCTCGTTAACCAAACAAAATGAAATGAACTCGAGCCGCCAAGCCAGACTCATTTAATTTAATTTCTCACAGGAAAAGATCAAATTTGGAGAGGGAATAGTGTCCATAGATAGGGTTTATGTTCGCGGGGAAAACAAAAATTACTCAAGAAAGATGATAACGTGTTGCAAATGAATCTCTCGAGTCCTATCGCGAAAGATCATGGGCTAAAATTGCCAAGGCTAGCTATTCGCCTTTAACACTAGGTAAATAATGACTAGAAAGAAATAAGAGAAAAAAGCGCGTTAGATATCACAATTCACATACCTGCAAAATTTCAATGAATTTTCGGCAAAACTGATGTGTGTGTTATTACATGTCACACCAGTAAAACTTTCAAGTTTTCACTTGCTCTGATAAGTACATTTTTATCTTTTGTCATGCACACACACTAAGCAGTTTACACAAAGTCATAGTGCTTATTATTTTCTATCCAAAGGGTCCCTAAAGCAATTGGTTTAATTAATCAACTATGCAGTCTCAAAGCCTTAATATAATCAATCTCGACTCGAAAATCACCTGGACCAGACTTAGCTCCCGGGACTCCACCTTCGGCATTGACAGAGAGAGACATGCCCAAAATTCGGGCCGGGTTCATCTCTAGCTGTGCATCTATCACATTGCCCCTCCATGTAGGCAGATATCGAGCGAGAGGAATCTGAAGAATGGAAAATTAAGGGTGCGTTAATCAGCTCAAAATGAAAATGAACTTTTCTGGTTAATTAAGGTTAATTTAGAAAAATGTGGTATGATTAGCTGTTAGTAGGATTTTGAATTTATATATTAAAATAATATTTAAATAAAAAAAATTAAAATTGAGTTGATGTAAAAGTATGCAAAAATATGAGAGAGATGATGTAAAACAATAATTAGTTAAAATTATGTGAGTAGATGAATAGTGAATTAAAATTGATGTGATGTGTAAGAATGATTTGTTTGTAATATTTAACTAGTACAATACTCGTGTACTGCACGGGTACTTGTTAAGATTTTTTTTTTAAATAATAATAACAACAAAAATTGTTTTAGTTTTTAATTACTTTTGCGAAAAATATATTATTACTTAATTTAAATGACACTCACACGAATTAACATCTTATATAATAATTTTTTTAATTTATATGAGATAAGTACTGTGTAGATAATTTATTTTTTAATTAATAGTAATATGTAATTTAATTTTAATTATAAAGATAAATAAAATTATTTATTTATTTTGTATGTATAATGTAGATGTCAAATCGAAGTTCATCAAGACCTGAATAATTTGATATGTCATATATAAAAATTTGTTTATAAATAAAAAATTATTAAGTTTTAAATATAATTTTAACTTAAGTTAGCAAATTTGTTATAATTTTAAAAGAAATATGAGGAAAAAGAAAGATTGGGAAAATCAAGAATACCTTATAATCCATGTCTACATTAGAAAATTATATTTAAATATTAATTTATATTCTTTAAAAGAACCATAAATATAGGATATTCCAAGCCTAGTTACTTTTAGATAGGAAATAAATTAAAATTCATCCAAGTTAAACAACAAAGCTTAAAAATTTGTCACATATGATTTCGAAGCATCCGAGCCTACCACTTAAGCTCAGCACATTCTTAAATTATACATAAAATATTTGCGTGACTTAATTAGCTATAAATACAATATAGAGTTTCTTGCTATATATTCTGTTTTTTCATTAATTCATAAATATCTTATATTATTTTTTTTTATCAAGCAATTTCAATCAAGTATATCAATAAGTTGACCAAGTATTTTTGCAAAATCAATCTTTCCATTTCCTTGTAAAATTTCACACTGGAAATCAGTGAACCAATTTGTGAGATTTCCAAAAAATTGAGGGATAAATTAGTCAATTAATAGTACTAAGCAAAGGTTCCAACCTAATATCAGGGGTATATTAGTGAAATTATTATTTAATTACCCAAGTTAGCTTTTCAAGAACCTAAAATTATTGATTTAAAATAAATTTATTTTTTATTCAAACCAAATTACGAAACATGTTTTTTTCGCCAAATAGGATTCCGAAACGTGCAAGTGGCTCAGTGCATTCGAGAATTATATATGGGGAGGATTATATGAATAATATAAATTATAGTGCAGTTGAATTAAGGTTGAGTTATATGTTGAGTGTGAATTAATTGTGAATGAGTTAATTGATAAACAATCACCCCCTAAAATTCTTGAAATTAGAATCGAGACAATATTAAGTGACTATGTTGTAAATTTTTTATTTTTATTTTTGAGTTTCAGTCACAATAATATGCAGCTTGTAAAATATTATTAATATGTGAATTGTGATCCACTCAATCGGTCTCAAACAATACTATTTTATCAGGGAAGTTGGTTCGAAAGGTTGAATTTCGTCCATTTATATACCCAATTGAGATTTTGCACCTGTATCACTTGGTGTTTGTAGGCTGAAACACTTCACCTGGTAATTAAAAATTAATTTGGTGCAAATATTTTCAGAATAAAACGTTCACTTATGTTCATTAATTTATTAATTTTAACGGCATAAGTTGAATAGTCGAGAGAGAATGTGGAATCACCTTTGCAATATACCAATCATCCTTGGGCACAAAAACAAATGCCTGCCACGAGTTATCTTCCTCCTGTCCTGGAGAATTCACCCAATTCTCTGTATAAATCTGCATGAAAGTAAGTAAAAAAGTAAAAAAGTAAAAAACTCCATTAGCTTTGCTTTTAAGCTTGTAAGTGCTCGATATCATTGTGAAATTCAAATCAGGTAGAAAATCAAACTTTAAAATATTCATAATAACTCACAGTGGAAATGTAGCATCTACCGTCCCCTTTGAGTTTTAAGGCCAAAGTGTCGTATGCATCCAAATCGATGAACCCATCAAACTGCGCATATACAAGTAGATGAAGAAAGGGAGTGAAAAATAATTGAAAAAAATTAAATAAGAAAAATTAAGTCTTCGCGAGTATCGTGTTTTACTACCTTCTTAGATCTCATACCACAGAAGCCACTTCTACTAATGTTCCATCTTGAACTTTCATCGACATCCAGAGAAAGGTTTCCAGAGAACAAACCTATGAGTTTTTGAATTGAAATAAATAAATAAAAAAGAAATGCAACAATAAGTAGCTTTCATGGTTCATACGTAATCTAAATTTCAATTTGGTTCCAGTCGGCAATTCAGAAGCTCCTTCGCACAAAATAAATAAATGGGAAAAATAAATGATTTCCATTTTATAGCCTCACATGTTCTTATACAACTCAAAAGATTCAAATGAGTAACAGTAACGGTGTACAAAGGTGAGCAAATATTTACTGACCAGTACCGCTTGATCCATTAGCAGACTCTTTTATCTCCAATGATGCAGATGATAAACCTGAAAAGTTATATTCCATCATTCGAGAGTCTCTCATCAGTTTTTTTTTTTTTTTTTAATCTATTCTACATGAATTCTCGCTACAAACTGCTCCCTGCCGATAGTAGCTCGCCTACTTTAAGGTTCTTAAAAACCATTAAGTATAATATCCTGTTCTGAAATATTAATATCAACAGCCACAGTTCATATCTCAGATATATAATCCGAGGTACATTGCGCTCAAACTGTTCATAGAGAAACTAAAAGGAATAATAATGTTCTTTTTCCATTCAGTAAGTCAGAGAAGCATGAAATTATGAAAAAAAATAGTACCTCCATATTCAGAATCTGAATACAGATGCCATCTTTTAAGCTCCTCTTTGGAATCAAATTTGAAGATATATTTTTCACTTGGAGGAACGAGATCTTCAAGGTTCCACGTGAGAGCTGCAAAATTAGATGAAAACTGATGGGGATGCATGTTTGGTGCTCATTTTTTTCAACGGCTAATACAAATGCAAATCAGAATCATCAGAATTAATAGAAGAACAAACTCAAAGAACATATTAAAATTATCGGAAGAATAAAAACACAGCAAGATTCATGCACTCCCTGTATGATATATAGTATAAACAACATATTTCAAATCCGAGATGCCTTTTCTACTGCTTATATAACTATTGAATTCACCACACTTCCACAGTCTCTTATAAATTCATTTTCGAAAGAACCAAACAAAAGGGAAACACCACAATAACTGTAAGTAAACCCCAGACAACATCAAACTTCAAAATCGAAACAAATAAACACAACCCAAGCATAGCCAAAACGACATAATCCTTAAACTCCACCCACTTGGGGCAAGTAAAACACAAATTGTACTAACCCATGAAGGTAAACAAAAGAATATGATGGAACAAAAAGTTACCTCTTTTACTTGCACTAACCGAAGCTTGCCATAACGCACGAAACCTGGACATCCTCACGAATAATTTTTTACGGGCCCTGATAATACAACACCTGCAGCAGATGAAGGACCAAACAAGATTTTAAATCAACACATCACGCTCAATTTTTTTTGTTTATTATTCCAAATCCTTGTACAAAATTATATCTTGCTAAAAACCCAATCAAATGTGGGTAAAAATTTCAATCCGAGAAAGGGTTTTTCCTCAAGAGCCCGACAACATAACTGCAAATTATCTCAACTACGTAATCAAGAATCGAAAACACACATACATGCTCGACTCGAGCTAAAAAAACATCAGAAAAAGTTAATCACAGGTGTCAAAAGAAACCTTATAATACGAGAAATCAGATTTGATTATGAAGTTCTTCTTCCTTTCCACTTCAATTTTGCGCTTGCCTCTTTTGAAGACCGACTGGACTGAGCTGAGGAAATGAAGGCGGTGAAGGTGAAGCAACAATATTACGACGTCGTATAGAGTAAGGTTAACCCGAAGCTAAAGTCGCGAAAATACACCTGGCACGATTTACAGTCTTCTTGGAGTGAAAATTAAATTAAATAAAAGAGAAATTCTTGACCCTTGAGTTTGTAATCGTTAGATCATCACGTAATTGTCGGACATAGTTGATTTAACAGTTAGAAATTATGATGAAATTGTTCTGTAACGGGACCGTAACATCTCTCTAAATAAAGTTACATGACATTAGGAAGATATTATTAAAAAAAGTATGAACATTGTTAGACTTTAATGAAAATTTACCTAATTGATATCGAAACCTTATTTTAGCCAAAATAAATTACAAACTTTTACAAAACCAAAGATTCTTAAAAATAGAAGAGAAATTCCACTATACAAACATATCTATATTAATCCAAATTATTTATTTGGGGATTAAATTAAAAAAAAAAAAAAAAAAAAAAAACTGCCTAACAAAAGACAAACACTTATTTTATAAACTATTATACTATTGTTTATATTATACTTAATTTTTAAAATATAACATACAATACTTTCTTAATAACAATTTAATAACATGTGTAACTAGTGAAAGAGAACTAATAACAATTGTTAATAATATTAATAAGTCAGATGCAGATCGACTACTCGCATGAAGAAGAGGAAAGAACTCAAACTTTTTTTTTAGCCAACCACGGTATTCAGAGTTATATTCTGACAGTGGTGAATGAATCCCGACAAAAATTTTCTGCGTGCACAAAGACTCGATATCTTGCTTAAGCCACGTCAAGTAATATTAACAACTCAAAAGATAAACAATGGAAGAGGTGCCCTTAGCCATGTGCACGTGTCCTGCCCATTCTCGACTTTTCCTGAGCAAACACCAAAATTCTCGAACGTTCCCTTCGCGCCTTTTTTATACCCCATAGCCCTCCAATCATGCCGGAGCGTGAAATCAAGTTACCTCTATCGGCCAACTCTTATCAACACACTCGGCGATCTTTTTTTTTTCGTGATCGATCATCGGAAAAGTTTACTCACAGTCGGAGATGAGCACCGTGATGGCGGAGACGCTGAGCGAGCTTATGAATCTCCCGGAGACGATCGAGAAATACGTCCTCTCCTCCGCCGCGCGCCCGACCAACGGAGACCACCCGCGCCGTGTCGGATCCGGCGCCGCCGTTTTCCCGGCGGACATTGTGGACGCGCCCGGGGAGTATACTTTCTATATGGACGTCCCGGGCCTCTCCAAGTCGGATATTCAGGTACCCGACCCTGTTTTCCTTATCCATATTAATGTCGAGTTCAGTTGAGTTCAGTCAATTAAGATAGTTATTGCAAATGTTTTTTTTTTTTTCACTTCCAATGGCAAATATTAAGAGAAAAATCAAATTTTGTGGCAGGTGGCCGTTGAAGAAGAGAATACATTGGTGATAAGGAGCAACGGGAAGAGAAAGAGGGAAGACGGAGAAGAAGAAGGGTGCAAGTACATAAGGCTCGAGAGGCGGCCGGTCCAGAAGGTGACTAGGAAATTCAGGCTGCCGGAAAATGCTGACGTGTCGGCAATCACCGCCAGATGCGAGAATGGGGTGCTGACGGTGGTGGTCAAGAAGCTGCCGCCGCCACCTAAGCCCAAGAAGGTGGAGGTCACCATTTCTTGAAAATGGGGTCATGAATAGTTTTGATTGTGTGATGTTCTTTTTGTATTTTAGTTACTCTTAGGAGATGTAAACTTAAGTTATGCATTTTGTGTCTTGGTTTTCTAAGTTTGAATAGTAGTTTGCACTGTGAGAGTGTGTAATCTATCATAATATGTAAGCTTTGTTATAATCATCAATCTATCTAGTTTCATTTTGTCGGTCTAAATTTTAAACCGTCTGCGTTCCAAAAAATACTCAGCTGAATTGGTAGCAAATTCAATTTAAATACATGTTTAAAAACACAGGAAATCCACATATGTATCCTTGGTTAAACATTATAGAATTCAGTAATCCTTACTATGATGAATAAAGATTTATCACAACAAGAAGTTTTATCCATGTAATATATAAGTCACTTCACTTACTAAGCGACATTTCTCTTCTTTTTCTTTGATTTCTTCGATTTGCTGCCCTTCTCCTCCGTTCTCTTCTTCTTTCTCTTAAGTTGATGGTCCTCATCATCAATGGACGGCTGGAATTCATCATCCCCCTCCATCAAATGCTGGTATTCCTCAAGGCTCGCAAAAGGGGAAACCCCTGCACCACCTTTCGACTTCCTCTTCCTTCTCTTCCCCTCGAAATCAACCTCCTCATCCTCCTCGTTTGCCACATCATCATCATCTAAAGGCACATTGTCCACGTCATCCATCTCTTCCACATCAGCGATCTCGTCCATGTCATCCATCTCGTCATCGTCATCACTAGCACCACCAACTAAGTTGTCATCATCATCATCGGCAATTTTGTCCAAGTCATCATAATCATAATCACCATTGTCCGCCTCTAATAGAGTTTGGCCCGGGAACAACACGTTTTCAATCTCGTCATCTTCACTCGGGTCCTCATCACCAACTGCAAAAAGCTCCTCGGCCGCCTCGTCATCTGCCATTTTCTTCTTCTTCTTCTTCTTGGTTTTTCTGGAGGAGTTTACTTTATTGGCATAGAATTTGTGGAAAACAATATCTTCGGGCGGCACTTCATCCTCTGCCAGTGATAGGATCTCACGTCCTATCAGGTGGTGGTTCATGTCAACCTGGAGGCGCCAAATAATTTAAGAGGTGATTATTATTTTTATTGCAGATTAACCAAAAATTCAGATTCTATAAAGCTGATAGTCACATTTGTCTTAGAAATCTCCTCATAAGAGCAATGCAATGCAAACGTCCATTAGCTGTTGACATCTCAACAGAAAATAAACCCAACATACTTGAAAGATATGTAACACAGGGTTATATCAAACTGACCTTCTTCGCGGGTTCGATCTGAGAGGCACCGTGCCATGTGTTCTGCTTTGGTTTTTTCTCCATGAATTTGTCGAGGAAAGCACTAAGAGAAAGGTCGGTTAGGGGATTGCCGTTATAGACAATATTGACTCCGGAAAGTAGGGTCCCGGCCATTGCAGCTACCGATGGATGCACGTGTGATGCAAGCACTCTTAGCTCCCACCAGCCCACTCTATCTGCATTGCTGTTGATCAAGAAATTCAGCAATAGTAAAGATAATAATAATAGTTGTAGTAGTAGTTGTTGTGCATATGTGTGTAGTGATGTAATCGAACCGAGCGAGTAGAATTTGGATATTTCAGCTCATGTTGGTTTACGTTCGAAACTGACAGTAGCAAAAAATCGTGTTCGAGCTCGTGCGTTTAAGTGTTCGTCAGAATTCAAGTTTCTTCGTGTTCACGAATGATTTAGAGGGTGATGGATATAAGTTATTTTGGATTTGTTAGATAATAACTAGAGTTAATTTTGAAAAAGTTGACTGGGTTAGGTTTGAGTGAGAAATTCTTTAGATTGTATTAAAATAATATTTAAAATATAATTATTAAAGTTACTGAGATGTAAAAGTGTAAAAGTAGAAGAGAGGTGATTAAAAGTGATGGACGGTTTAAAATTAAGTGATTGGATTAATTGTGAATTAAATTTCATGCGATGTGTAAGGATGATTGGATGGTATTACTTAATTATAAGAGAATTAAGTGATTGGATTAATTGTGAATTACATTTCATGCGATGTGTAAGGATGATTGGATGGTATTACTTAATTATAAGAGAAGAGTCGAGTTTGTTAAATTTGAGTTATTGAATTTAAAATATTACCTTTGACCTTTTGATTAATTCAAAATATTTTCATTCGAACTCGAACACGAAAATTAAAAAAAAAAATAATTTGAAATATTTTTATATTTGAGTTTCTATAAAAAAATACCATTTAAATTTACAAAAAAAAAAAATAAATTAATTTTCGCAAACATTATCGAACGTGTCCATGTCCCTTCTACTATTAAACAAGTCTAACTTTCTGTTCGAACTCGTCTCGATCAACAAACGAACGAGTTTTTGTTTGCGGACGGTAATAGTCTTACACGTGTGTGTGTGTGTGTGTGTGTGTGTGTGTGAGTGATATAGAGGGAGGGAGGATTACCAATAGTTAGGTTCCCTATGCCTGGGATTGTAGCCTCCAGGCAATGTGCCTTCTTGGAGATTCGGCACCTTATGGTCAGAGGTTATTATCTTAATCTCCTCAACTTTATCGAAACCACCTTCAACAAGTAAATCATCTCCTTCGTCAAAACCGTCCCTGTCAGAACCTGAAGTTGCAGAACCACCTTCATCATCATTTGAGGAATCACCATCACTGTCCGAACCATTGCTGATGTCAGCAACAGGTTTCTTTTCATCACTATTGTCTTGAACAGAGATGGCATGGTTTTCGTTGTTTTCATTAATATCTTCAAAATGCTCAAGATCTTCATCAGCATCAGCAGCCTCGTTTTGCAGCACCATATTCCTAAATGATTAAAATAAATACCGAATTTAAAAAGGAGATGCAAGAAAAAGTAGTCCTGTTTCAATCTCTAAAAAAATATCATTAAAAAAGCATGCCTACGAGAAAAGGTAGCCTACCAAAGAGGAGGGCGTGCTTTGAGGACTTCTGATAGCAAAAAAAGGCAAGCACATGCATACTGCGGTGGCAGCTGTAAGGCAACCTGTTTGGATGAAACTTTTTTCAGTAATATAGTCTAGGAAAAGGTTCTACTTGCATTAGGCTTGGACAAATTAATTAAAAAGAAACTGAACAGTAGAAAGACTAGGAGCACGATACAATATTTGGATGCGAACCTGCAACAAACGTTTCGAGAATGCAGCAACTCGCTTCAGATTAATGTCATTCTTCATTGCTCTCAATAATAATGCAATAAACATTTCCTCCTGTAAATTATAGATAAAAAATAAAACACTGTTGGACATTGGAGAAGATTTATAAAAAAGATGGGTGTATTTTGAAAATATGGCGAGCAAGACCATGCATATGGAAAATAGAAAGAACTAGACAAGCTATGTTAATTAGACTTCGTGATGTAGGGAAACATATGAGTGGGAAGGATAAATGAGAATTCAATCTCAAAACACGATAAAACCAATCAATTTCTTATTCAATATCAACCACCTGATAACTAAGAAGAAGGAGTCTCTAAATAAGGTTCCTAAAGCCCTAGACCAAACTTGTTCACCAAGCTACTAAATATTAATAATAATAATAAATGCTAATAATGATAATAAGAGAAGAATACTACCACTTCGGTAGCAATATTTACTAAAAACAAAATAATATTGGGTAGAAGTGAGTGCCTGTAAGAACAAAAAAGCAAATAATGGTTCACACCTTGGACGAATTCATGGCAGCTGGGAGTAGGAGTTTCGAGTACAAGGCACGATAAAATCGGTCGCTGACAATTTGGTTTTTAGATGAAATTTTGTCAAGAAGCATTAAGGCTTGAACCCCAACATTGAAATTCGTCGAATGAACCTGAGAATCAAAAAGGCACAACATACTTTCTTATATATATATATATCCTGCATATTGGCCCTTCAATTAAAATTAATGCATAAACATTTTTGTTTTCATCAAAGGCCCTACCAGCTGAAATAACACAGGTGTCTGGACCTGTACTACATCATCAGCTTCATCACTAGGGACAAACGGAAAAGCTCTGTTAACACCCTGCATTTGAAGGAGCTAAAACTGTTAGTGTATCTTTAGAAAGAAGACTGTTATCTATTAACACCCAGTCGTCTATTCTATAGTAAATGATTTATAACCAAAATTATACGGGAATTAGAAACTATCAGTAACATTTACTTACAGATAAAAGAGCTGACAATAACCGCGAGTCCATTTCTACATGCAATCCTGAAGAGGCTTTCGATTTACCATCTTTTGAGGAAGTTGAAACTTTTCCATCATTCTTTCCACCAGATTGTGATGCCCCACTCTCTGATATCAAAACCTGAACAAAAAGTACTGTTGAATAATTTGAGCAGTAAAGTAAGAAAGATAATGCAATGGCCGTGCCATGCCAGGTAACTTGATGAATACATAAGACACATACAGCGTAAAAATAATGGATATATGAATGAAATGCATATGAAATCGTTTAAAATTACCTTGAATAGATCAAAATAGATACCAATCAACTTCTTTGCTGCTTTAGGCCCATCTCCTTTGTGACTCAGACGAATTTGACTCAAGAAATTCACCTTTACATCAGTAGAGACAAACAAATGGAAAAAAAAAAAAAAAATAGTGAGACGGTCAATATTCATGTTCATCACATGAGCATATCCTCATAGAATTACACAAATCAAATAATTAAGCAACCTGGCATTTACATGTATAAGTGGATAAAACGGAAATAAATCGATGTTCACATCCAACTAATGAATAACTGGGCAAAAATGATTATATTCACAGCTAGTGCTAACAAGTGCAGCTTATTCCCTCAACCAGACAAAAAGCACATCATCCCGAACAAAAATAAACACAAGTCGGAGATTGATGTAAACGTACAGCGTGATATTTGGCTCGTAATCCAAGGTGAGGTCGAAAAAGGAAATTTTCTACTTCCTCAATCACCACTGCCTGCAAAAAATTAAGAAAACTTATCTCCAACTTATGGGTAAGGCAGTTCACTGAATCAGCATATTCTGAAATACATATCCAACAAAAAGATTTAGAGATAGTTACTCTCTTAAGGTAACAATAAAAAGGATGAGAACATCAGTATTAAAATGTAAATGACTCGGAATTAAGGATACAATGAGGCAAAAAGTATAGAAAACCACCTTCATGTTTGGATGCTCAGTTAAAATATTTGCTAGGTGATAGTCAGCATTTGATGCAACTTTGTTTTCAGGATCTCCAAGCTGTAAGCAAGTCAAGAATTCAAGTATTTAGAATCTTATTTGGTTCCTATTTAATCCTACTCAAAGATGAATGTTTATATACCTTGTTCCTATTTAATCCTACTCAAATACGAATGCTTATATACCTTATTCACCAATGCAGAGAGTAGTCGTCGCTCTTGTTCTGATTTGCTCTTCAGCAATGTATAGATGATCTGAGACATTACATAGAACATAAGATGGAGTAAAAACATATTTCATTCATTGGCTACATTTTTCAGCACCATTCCTGCTTTTGCTAGCCACAATACATAATCTAAAACAATTGATACCAGTAATTGTTAAAAATAGTTAACAAACTAAATTACCTCCTTAATTGGATAAAACAATTTATCATAAAAAATAAAAGAAGCTATACAATAACATAAATAACCAGTTGTGTACTTTGGAAACTCTATAAGATCAGAAACAACTGAACTAACCTTCAGAGCAATGCTTTTGAGCTTAACTATCACATCAAGAGAAGCTTCCTGGAGTGCAGAAACAAAATGTTCATACCTGCAAAATAATTATTATCTTTCACGTATCCAGCAGTCAGTCATAAAGAACCAACTATTTTAATAACATGGGTTCAATATTTCAGATTACAGTTATTACATGATGTAATACAATAGAAACCCCACTAATGATCGAGATACCTTTCTTTTAACAAATGTTCCCAATACCAAAATAGTAAAAGAGAGTGGCCATCTTTTGTATCAGACAGATGATTTAGAGGTCGCTGAGAGAGATTCTTTAGCTTGCGATCTGGTAATAGACTGCAAAAAGATTTATACAACATCGACTATAGTGTTAACCACAATGAAACCACAACGCTAGTCAATAGAGTAATAAAGGGATATCTGGCGTGTAATTGTGCGCACATACAGCAGGAAAATATGTTTCAACAAAGAATACATACTGCGGAAACATCTATGTTGATCAAGCCAAAAGACACCAAAGGAAACACGAGTTCTTACATGAGAAAAATTTCTTTCAGTGCTTCAAAAGCAGTGAATGCATGCCGCTTCCCAACTTTTGACGTCACCATGCCTGCACAAAATAATTTTCACAAGATCATCATCCAAAGCACGCACAAAATGCAAAGCTTAGAACAATCGAAGTATTAAATATATACGACAGAACGAATAACCTCACAGGGAATAACTTTCAAGCATTTTTTCCACTCAGTGAACAGAAAATGAAAATAAATGAAAATAAAGGTAACCCACTACAATCAATCACAATTAGCCCCAAATCATCACCAATACCAAACTTGCAGAAATGATGTGAATAACGTATATTTCTGCACAATAGCAGAGTCACTATTGATTAGAAGCCAATAGACATGCATTATCCCAGCTAGAACATTATATCATTTATTAATAACTTCAACAGCATGCAGTATAACGCCAAACATCAAAAAAACTTCACTCAATTCAGCTCAAATACAGAATGATCAACAAAAATGCGTTACCTAAAAGCGAGTCTAACGATCTCGAATTTGCAACTGCATTGTCCCCAATCAAGACGGAAAGTGCTGACACCTTGTCAGCAGCTGTCCCGGACCTCTGTGTGGCGTAGAGCATCTTAATATCTCCATTTTGCCCACGGGTCGACACGTAATCTTGTGCATACTGCGCCAACAACCGTTCTCCCAGCTCCTTCTTCTTCTCCACCAAAACCTTCCACTCCTCGGCATTTCTTACCTCTATTTTCTTATCTTTACCGACCAATTTCTCCTCCAACTCAGCAGCATCGTCGTGCCACACGCCCAGCGCACTCGCTTTCACCAACGGAAGCTTTGGGAGATTCTTAAACCTGCTGTAATCTTTTTCCGCCGAAAAATCACTGTTCTTCGGACCCTGCCTCTGGTTTTCAGCTGGTTTAGCGTCGTTTCTCCTGGGTCTCGGTTTGCGGTTTTTGTCTTCAGATTTTTTCGTGGATGAATTTATTTGGGGCTTTGGGAGTGTTTGAGACTGAGGCTTGATGGGGCCAGTTTTCCGGAAATCGGAGTCGTTGAAGCCGGACGAGGGATCGGCGGCGGCGGCGCCGCCGGATGAGAGAAAACCGAGGGAGGACGCGAAAGAGGCGACGTCGGATTGAAGGTCAGCCGTGTCCTTTGGTGGCTTTTGTTTCTTAACGGCCACCATTTTTGGAGCTCTGTGGATGTCTGAATTTGGGGGAACTGTGATGAAGCAGAAAAGGGTTTTAAGGGTTTTGGAGAGGACGACGACTAATTGGAAAACGCTTGTTATTGGGCTTTGGGCTTTTAGATTGTATTGTGGTAAGTTTAAGGTTAATTCTGGGCTGGAATAAAGACATATTGGACCGAGTACAGAAGTTTATTTGGGCAGAGGTTATATTTTGCTTTTTAATATTTTGACGGCCCATCTAAAGTTGCAAACAACTTCACACTTGAAAAAAAATATGCTGTTTAACCTATATTTTTTTCATATTTACAATGGTTTTTTTTTTTTTAATTACAAACTACTTTCATGATTTATAAATAGTTGATTTGGGTTTATATATAAATTAATTTTATATTACATTGTACTTTTATTTATAGCTCGGTTATGAATGACTTTTGTATGATTTTTAGTTGTTGAATATGTTATCCTAACATCGAAATTTAATTAGATACAACTTTGTATGTATCTTCGTTGCAGTAAAAAAAAAAA